AAATAAATAAATTCCTAAAATTTGTGTCAGTCAAACTATTTTAAATTTGACTAACTTTATAAAAAAGAGTAACAATATCTATGGCATAAAATGTTCACCTTATAAAAATGTATTCTATGGTAAATCTAACTATACTAATTTAATACCATAAATCTAAGGATTTTTTCTAGAAATTTGGTCAAAATTTAAAAAATTTAACTTAAGACAACTATAGAAATATATTTATTTAGGGACAAAGGGGTATGAAGTTGGGCAACATGCATGCAAACACAATTTAATTACAGAAAACAATTTTATTTCGCGTGCACAACATATTGCATGATTTTGGTTTAGGTTATGCTCTATATAAAGTCTAATATAAGTAGCTAACCACAACCTCTAAGAAGAACCCGTGGAATATCGGCCTCGGCTGTGATTTTCAAACAACCGTAGTGATCGCTTGCTTGCTGGAAGAGCTACTTGCCCACATAATCGGAGTGTATATGAATGCATCAATCATGTGGATCTAGTTATTGCACGATATAAGAAAGTGCCAAGATAGGCATTTTGTTCGCCCTCGAGATTCCATTTTGTGGTGTTATATTTCATTTTACATTGCTGCTAAATTGTTTTTGCGATTCCAAATTTTGTTCAGTCGCTCTATGAGTTAATGGGCCCCAATTTCCTTAGAAAAAGCTGGGCCCGTAATTAGGCCACTGTAAACTGGGCCCGCAGAAAAGCAAATCTCCAGGGTTTTAGCAGAGCCCAGTAAAAACGGCGGAGGCATCCAATCCGGGTTGCGACTCCTCTCCTCTCTCGCCGCTGCCTGACTCTCTCCCTCCTTTTCCTGGGAGTCGCGACCGCGCCGCGCTCAGCGATCCCATTTCCCCACGTCGCCGTCGCCTCTCCAACCAGGTTGGTTTGGTAGCCGCCACCTCTCTCCGGATCCGTCCTCCACAATCTTTTTGCATGTATTTTTGTTTACATAGATTGTTCCAGTCTCCTCCCGCTTGCAATTGAACGTCTGTACGTTCGTCTCTTGTTTTTTTTTTTACCTCCTGTTGCTGTCGTTTGATCCGTTCCGTTTTCTCTTGACGTTGGACTAGGGTTTCGCTCCTTCCGCCGTCGTCGGGCGTGATCCATGGAGAACGGCGGCCTCGTCGGTGAGGGGCGCCCGGAGGATCGGGCGGGCGAGAGCGGCGGAGTCGCCGAGGAGGAGGAATCCGCCGTGAAGGCAGCCACTGCGGCGGATGAGGGCGATTGTGATGTGGTGGTGGAGGGCGGGGATGAGGGGGACGTGCCGCCGGCGCAGGATGGTGGCGGGGATGAGGTTGGGGAAGAAAACCGGGGCCAGGGAGAAGGTGCGGTGGAGTCTACGGGGGTGGCTGGCGATCACCAGCCTGTGGTGACGCCGAACACCAGAGTGGTGCTGGAAACAGGACAGCTTGCGGCAGATAAGTGGGACGAGGACGATACGCCCCGTGTCGTTGATGTGGAGGAAAGCTTTGCCGATGATGTGAATCAAGTGCAGGTCGCTGCACAATCTGGGAGCGAGTATGAGGATGTAAAAGGTGGTACTTTGGTGTATCAAAGCAAAAATCAGCCAGGGAAGAGCACACAAGAGATTGCTTCCTCTCATAGCAGGACAGAGTCAGTCACACATTCTGCAGCTGAGTCTGCTGTTGTCATTGAGGAATTGGATGACTCAAGCTCCTCAGATGATGAGAATACCACCACCTCTGCTCCCCCTGTACAATCCTCAGCTGGTAGTTCTACACCTGCACAATCCAGCAGTGCTGCTTCTGCTCGTTCCACTAATGGTCCCTCTCTGCTATCTCGTCCTGCTGGCCTTGGATCATCGTCTTCCCTGTCGCAGCCTCCTGCCCGTTCTGTTCAACAGCTCCGTGCCAACAGGCCATCCCCTGTGGATAGGGGAACCCAGGAGGCTACTGAGTCTGCTGAGGATGATAGAGATGAGAATGATGAAATCCATGAAAAGCTTCAAATGATCCGGGTTAAGTTTCTTCGCCTTGCTGACAGGTTTGGGCAAACGTCTCATAATATGGTTGTTTCACAGGTTCTGTACCGGCTTGGGCTGGCAGAACAACTTAGAAGAACTACTGCTATTGGGACATTTAGCATTGACCGTGCAAGAGAGATGGCAGAATGTCTTGAAGCTGCTGGAAATGAGCCCCTTGATTTTTCATGCACCATCTTGGTTCTTGGTAAAACTGGGGTTGGTAAGAGTGCTACCATTAATTCAATTTTTGATGATACCAGGTTGGATACAGACGCTTTTGATTCTAGTACTAGGAAGGTTCAAGAAGTAGTTGGTACGGTTGAGGGAATCAAAGTAAAAGTGATTGATACACCTGGACTTTCCTGCTCATCTTTAGAACAGCACCACAACCAGAAGGTTCTCAACTCTGTCAAGAGACTTATTAGCAAGAACCCTCCGGATATTGTTCTTTATTTTGATAGGTTGGATATGCAGAGCAGGGACAACGGTGATGTCCCTCTGCTGCAAACCATCACGAAAGTGTTCGGAGCATCAGTTTGGTTCAATGCCATTGTTGTGTTAACCCATGCTGCATCTGCACCACCAGATGGGCAGAATGGAATTCCTCTGAGCTATGAAATGTTTGTCACCCAGAGATCTCATGTAGTGCAACAAGCTATAAGGCAAGCTGCTGGGGATGTGCGTCTTATGAATCCAGTATCCCTGGTGGAAAACCACTCAGCGTGCAGGACAAATAGGGCTGGCCAGAGGGTATTGCCGAATGGACAAGTCTGGAAGCCACAGCTACTGCTGCTTTGTTTTGCTTCAAAGGTGTTAGCAGAAGCCAATGTGCTCCTCAAGTTGCAGGATAGTCCCATTGGTAAACTTTCTCGTACAAGGATTCCTCCACTGCCTTTCCTCCTCTCTTCCCTTCTTCAGTCTCGTGCCCCACTGAAGTTACCAGAGGAGCAATTTGGTGGTGATGATGATGATCTTGAAGATGATTCGACAGACGATTCTGATTCAGATGATGGTTCAGATTATGATGATTTACCTCCATTTAAGCGTCTCACAAAAGCTCAGTTTGCCAAGCTGAACAAAGAGCAGAGAAAGGCCTATCTTGAGGAGCTAGATTACAGAGAGAAGTTGTTCTACCGAAAACAACTGAAAGAGGAAAGCAAGCGTCGTAGATTGATGAAGAAAATGGCAGCAGAAGCCAGTGCTCGAGCAAATGATTTCAGCAACAGCAACCTAGAAGATGATTCTAATACTGCAACTAATGTTTCAGTGCCTATGCCTGACATGGTACTGCCCTCATCTTTTGATTCTGACTATCCTAGCCATCGCTATCGTTTTCTGGATACACCAAGTGAATGGCTTGTCAGACCTGTATTGGAAACCCAGGGCTGGGACCATGATGTTGGTTATGAGGGACTTAATGTTGAAAGGTTGTTTGCTGTAAAAGGTAAAGTTCCTCTATCCGTGTCTGGCCAGCTTACAAAAGACAAGAAGGATTGCTCCCTGCAAATGGAGGTTGCAAGTTCAATTAAGCATGCTGAGGGTAAGACTACTTCACTTGGGCTTGATTTGCAGTCTGTCGGCAAGGATATGGCATACACAATTCGTGGCGAATCGAGATTTAAGAACTTCAGGCGCAACAATACAGCTGCTGGGATATCTGCCACGCTCCTTGGGGATTCAGTATCAGCTGGTGTGAAGATTGAGGACAAACTGATAGTGAACAAGCAGCTCAGGGTCCTGGTTAGCGGTGGGGCCATGAGTGGGAGGGGAGATGCGGCCTATGGAGGCCGCCTCGAAGCAACAATGAGGGACAAAGATTACCCGATTGGGCGGATGCTTTCCACTATCGCGTTATCTGTTGTGGATTGGCACGGGGATCTGGCAATTGGCTGCAACATCCAGTCTCAGATCCCTGCTGGAAGAGCTAGCAACTTGGTTGGCCATGCGAATCTAAGCAACAAGGGGACCGGCCAAGTCGGGATTCGCCTGAACAGCTCGGAGCATCTTGAGATCGCACTTGTTGCCCTCGTGCCGATATTCCAAAACATCAGGAAGCTGTTACAGAATTACTCAGAATCTGGCTAGTTTATTTTTTAAGTTAGCCTGAGAAAACAGTGAGCAGAGCATCATAGGTTAAAATCTAGCATAAATTAGAACTTTATACTTTCAATTTATTTTGTTCTTTTGTTGCCAACTTTTGTAACTATGCTCTCCCTGGGCTCTTCCTTTTTGTGAAAGCTGTAGTACTCATCTAATGTAAGGCTTTTCCCTTAGCTATTTCTGATGAAGCTGGATTGGAGAATTCATCGTGTCACTTTGTCAGATTTCTGGGCATACTATATTGCTATATTATATTAACATCTGAATCCTAGTGCATTCTTTGTTTTTTTTTCAAAAGTTTGATAATTGTGATTTTCCAGCGATGCAAGGCAAGTCGAGAGCGAAACAAACGAACCAGTCAAATTGTCAATTGTCAGAGTGGGGCGCAACGTTTCAGCTCAGTGACGTATATATCACAGAAATTCCTCGTGAAAACAAGTCACCAAAGCCATGGTCTGCACTCTCTGCCTTCCCGGGCTACACGTTAATCTAACCAGTAACTACGGATGCTGTCACATCTGATGGTCTTGTGCGGAAGATTTTTTCGTTCTTTTTCAGACGGCCCCGGGGGAGGGACGCTGACAAGCTGCGCGTAGCTGAGAAGATTCCCTGTTTCGAGGGGGCAGAAATTTCCATCTCCTTTTCCGCGCTTCAGGGCCTATTTAGATTTTAAAAAATTTTGAGCAGTACATGTCACATCGAATCTTGCGGCACATGCATGGAGTACTAAATGTAGACGAAAAAAAAACTAATTACACAGTTGGGTGAGAAATCGCGAGACGAAACTTTTAAACCTAATTAGTCCATAATTAGACACTAATTACCAAATACAAACGAAATGCTACAGTGAGCCAAAATCCAAAAAAATTTGGATCTAAAGAGGGCCTCAGTCTTACCGCAGATGAGTCGCCGCCAAGGTAACGACTCCTACAAGCTTCTTTTTATTTATTACCAACCTTTTGATCCCATGCTCCTGTTCAGAAATTCTCGCGCGCTTTTAGGCTACCCGGAATCTAGTGAGATTTCGCGAAATTCTTATGAGCTCTGCTCTTCTCGGTTCTTAATAAGTTCCTCTGAATATTAACTAAAGTCTATGGCTGCCTCTGGATATCTTTTACTGCATGTATGAGCGTACCTGACGCCATGGCTCCAGAGCTTTTGTGGTGCGATAGCCTTGCTAAGTGTTCTTCTTCCTGAATTTATTCCCCCGGGATAATAGCTTGCTTCGGTTTTGGTTTCCGTTCTTGGCACGGATGGGATATAGAAGCCAAACCTCCTATCAGTTCTGTAGACCTCAGGGTGGAAGTAGATGCCTTATTGATAAGACCGTCAGACATGGACATGCTAAGACCTTTTTCATGTAGCTATGTTACTAGAATTAGATAAGTAATCCTTATCCCTTACTCTTAACTGCTTATTATGACATGATTATTTTGTTTCAGGTGCTAGCTCAAGCTCTTACAGTGTATCATCATTCGTGTCCGATGAATTGGACTACTCAGATTTTTTGTCTTTGCACGAGGATAGCAGTACCGAGCACAGTGGCTCTAGGTCTGAACTTCTGTCGTCCCTCTCAGTTGATCTGAAGATGCCCCCAACAGAACATGTTCAGAGTCCGGCACCTCATACAGATCTGGTTTGCACCAAACTTAGCATCCTGGTTCTTTATTGAGCTGTACCCTGAACTGTTTCTTTTGGTGGATGTTCATCAATTGAAGCAAGTATCCTTTGTGATGATGCATCTGTAACTTATTGACAGGAAGATATGAATTTTGATGCCGACTTGCAAGATAGACTTCAGAAGGCCTTTGATGAGATTGTCAAGTTGAAGAAAGAAAACTTTGAAGAGTCTTGCCAACGCGAACAGGTTGAGAAGGAGCTCCTACTCGTCCGCAAGAAAGTAAACTTCTTCTGCATTTTTTTGTTCTCACTTTCTTCACTAATGTATGTTTTTAATTCACACTCGAGTATGGAAACACATTATAGTGTCATGAGTAAATTATTGTTACACTATTAATCTGTCACTAGTAAGCACATGTTCCATCCATTCTATGCACATAACATCTAGTTAATATAGCTACCTTTTCAGGCTAAGAAACTACAGGAGCACCTCTTAAAAGAGCTACAGCACTCGAAAGGATTTGAGCAAGCTCGCGCTGCTGATCAGCACTTGATACAAAAGCTTAAAAAGGATATTGAACTGCTAAAGATCCAGCGTGATGAATATCTTGAAAAGTTTCGTCAGGCAAGTGACCAGATCTTGCTTCAACCTTTAGGAGCAGCTAAGGAAGCTCGTGAACAGGATAAACATGAGATGGAAACACCGAAAGAAGAAATCAGTCAGCTTAAGATCCACCGAGACGAATACCTTGCAAAGTTTCTGGAGAAAAATAAGCCCAAGTTGGCGCCGGTGCAGTGTGTTTCTGATACTAATGTTATAGAAAAAGATTTGGAATCATACAGAACTTCCCTTGACAACCAGTTGTGGCCTTACAGGGACAGTGCAGTCAGATATTCTGAAGGACACACTCAGTTTACCTAGGATCAGCTGAAGCTGGCAACAGAAAATTTCAGTGAATTACTAAAAATTGGAGAAGGTGGGTATGGACGTGTCTACAAGGGCACTATCTCTGACACCGCCGTGGCCATTAAGATTTTACGTCATAATGAGAACATCCAAGGCTTACTGCAGTTTCAACGCGAGGTAATTAAAATAGGATCTTGCAATTTCATGTTACTAGTATTTATATAGAGGTTATGCAAAGTGATTCAGAATTTGTGCTGTCATTCCAGGTTTTGATCCTGACCAAAGTGAGGCACCCGCATCTTGTCAATCTCTTAGGATCCTGGGATGAAATGTCAGCTCTTGTGTATGGTTATTTACCTAATGGAAGCCTTGAAGACCGTCTTTCCTGCAAGGGTAACACCCCAGCGCTGACATGGCAGGTCCGAACAAGGATTATTGGGGAGATTTGTTCTGCGCTAATCTTCCTCCACAGTCATAAGCCCAAGCCTATTGTCCACGGTGATCTTAAGCCTTCCAACATCCTCCTTGATGCTGATTTAGTGAGCAAGCTTGGAGACTTCGGCATCGCTAGATTTCTTGTGCCATCCGACACCAGCACCATGGTCCATCTTACTGACCATCCAATTGGGACCCAGAATACATGGCCCACGGTGAGCTGACCCAAGGATCAGACATCTACTCGTTTGGTATCATCATCCTACGCCTCTTAACAGGGAGACACCCAAGGGAGATAGTGAAGAGAGTGGAGGATGCGATGATCAATGACGAACTGCACACCATCATCGACAGATCCGCCGGTGAATGGCCCTTTGTGCAGGTGCAGCAGCTTGCGCGTATCGCTATGAGATGCGCAGCGGAGAAAAGGAGGCGACGCGCAGATCTTGTCACCGATGTCTGGCCGGTGGTTGAGACAATGATGAAGAGTGCCTCTTTATCAGCGTGCCCCTCAACTTCTTCATCTATTCAGGATGAAAGCAGCGTGCCACATTACTTTTTGTGCCCGATTCTGCAGGTACGTGTGTTGCTTCACATTGAATCCTTTAATGTCCATGATAATTACTTTCATTCATCAGAAATTGTGCTGACATATTCATATGGATGCTGCTAATGAGCTCAGAAGATCATGAAGAATCCACACATAGCAGCGGATGGGTTCACCTATGAAGCTGAGGCCATAGAGGACTGGCTTGAAGCCCATGACCAATCTGCCACTTCGAAACTGCGTTACAATTCCAAACTCAGCGCTTCGCTTAGTCATCCAAGAACATCTTCAGCGTGGACCATGACCTACAGGCTACATCTATACGATTCTCAATTCATTCCTGCTTGGATCCTGAAGGGGATGCAAGAAAGCTAGATAGTTTTTTTCCCCTTATAAATTCATAGTGTGTACAAATTGGCCTTATGATTCTTTTTGTAGCATGTGCATAACTGGTTGTGACTATGAAAGAAAATGAATATGTAATTTGTCAAGTTCTGATTTCTCAAGGTAGTTTTGTTCGTGAAATGTCTTTACCAGTTTACCCTATTTATTCAGACGACATCAGACATTTTAGAGAAGAGGGAGTTGACGATCCAGTTTGGCATCCACCCCATGTTGTTGCTTCTGTTTTCTTACCAAAAAAAATCTTACTTCATGTCATAAACAACGTCCTCTTCCATAACGTTATCTATCTGAAGTTCTCGACAGGTATTGCTTTTTGTTTCCTCCAAGCATTGTGTGCAGTATCCATGAAAACCTATGTATCTTGTATCATGTTGCTAACCAAAGCTCACACCCAAATAGATAGTCACCTCTATTCTATTATTCTACATCAGAGAGAGAGAGAGAGAGGTATTTATCACTTGGCAACCTCTCCTAACCATTGATGTTACTATTTTTCTTCTTCAAATAAGAATGAGGTAGCAATTTAGTTTGACACCACGGGATTGGGGCCCTGTTTGACAATTCACCAGTTCTGAAATTATGCTGGATTTGGAGTTCGTAAATGCTTTGGTGCAGGCGTCCGACAGTTCAAACGCCACGCTCCCTGAGTCTGCGTGCTACTAGCCCAATAGGCCTACTCCCCTCTACCTTCCTTCACGGCTTCTCAAAAAAAAAAAGACAATGACATTTCTCAACTCGCACAGCCGTCGCGGCGTTCCTCGCCGCTCGCCTTCTCCAACGCGATTGCCGCTCGCCGTGGCCTTCTCCAGCGCGGGGGGGCTCACCGCGCGAGGCCACACTTGTCCGACCACCATTTCCGCCTCCACTGCGGGTGCTGGTCGCTCATCATGGGCCGCGCAGTCGCCTGCCCACTGCCATCCTCCTCCACCGTGACCTAGCGCCGGATCTCGCTGTGCAGTGCTCCGCTTGCTTGCTAGGTTTTGCTAAAAAAGCATGTTGCAAGAGTATGTTTCAAGTGTTTTAAATGTTTCAGAGATATGTTGCAAGTGTTGTATATCGATGTTGCAAAAGTAGATCGGGATTGTAGGGGACCGTGACGCCTAAGAGGGGGGTGAATTAGCCAACTTAAAAATCTAACTCTAAATTATGACTTCTTTTTCTAACCTTAGTAAAACATATATAAAAGATAAACTATCTAAATGTGCAACTATGGTTTTGCTAGTGTGTTGCTATCTCTACCGCAAAAGGAGTAATACAATCAATATAAATGCGGAAGCTAAAGAGGAAGGTAGAGATATGCAAACTCCCGTCGACGACTCCGGTATTTTTACTAAGGTATCGAGAAGCACGCAAACTTCCTCCTAGTCCTCATTGGAGCCCCTCGCAAGGGCCAAGCTCCCAGTCGGATAACTCCGTGGATAGCCTTGGGCCTTCCCCACGCGTAAGTGGGTCTCCGACGTGCCTTCCGGCAAGCCACTTCCGGATGCTCCCCGCCGTCTTCACTATCAAGCTTCTGGCCAAAACGTCGCGGGCCTTGTTCCCTTCGGTACACGGTAGCGGCCACACCAAAAACGCGGTTGGTGTGATCTCGCAAGACTACAAGCCCCTCCGATGTACAACAATGGTGCGCGCAAGCACCGAGTGGTAAGACGTATGCAAACCTCACTAAACACTAGGCCTAAACCTAGAGCAAGCGCATAAGCGGTGGTCTAATCAACCTAAGCACTTCGTAAAACACCTACGCTAATCACCTAATGAAACACTAAGCGATATGCAAGTGGAGATCACTAAAATGGTGTATCAACACCCTAGATATGTTTCCTCAGCTCCAAGTCCCACTGAGAAAGTAGCCGTTGGGGACGAAATCCTGCTTTTCTGCTACTGACCAGACGTTGAGGTCGTCCTGATCAGACGCGTCCGGTCATCCCGACCGTTGGAGCCGCGATCCACTGATCGGACGCTGCCAGCGTCTGGTCACATGCCACCGGACGCGTTCGGTCGCAATTTCGCCGCTCTGGAACCTCTCTACTCGACCGGACTCTGCTGTCCTGCGTCCGATCGATTTGCCTTTTCAGCGTCTGGTCGCTGCTGCTGCCGAGCCTCTGATCGGAGCGTCCGGTCCAGCGTCCGGTCACCTCTGTGAGCTCGTTTCTTCGTGATCTTGCGTCCCGTTTGGTTGCTATCTTCGTGCTTTGACTTTGCTTGATATCTTGGGTCTTCTCTTGTGCTTCTAAGGTCTTGCTTGTAGTGTTGATCATCGGATCATCACGTCGCCTTCGTCCAAGTCACGTCTTGCACCCTATTGAACAACAAAATAATCACTTGCAAATTCATTAGTTCAATTTGGTTGTGTTGGTCATCAAACACCAAAATCCAAAGTAAATGGACCTAGGGTCCATTTTCCTTAAAATCTCTCCCTTTTTGTGATTGATGACAACACAACCAAGGCAAGCAAATAATAGAATTTTGAAATTTTAAAACTACCTACTTGCTAGGATACAATGCAAGGGGCAAGGTTATATGATGCTAAAAGATACTACTTGTAAGACTAAAAAGAAACTACATAAAAACTTATCTTGCCCTTGCAAAATGTCTCCATGTGGCATTATGGATTTAAGCCTTGCTTTCTACAAATTCTCCTCATTACATAGACTAATCCATAATCCACTATCCTCCCTTACTCGGACCATTACCACTTGTAGACTATTGCCACTTGTAAATTATTATGATCTGGCTTATGGCCCTACAAATTAATGCTTACTTTTGGTTCTCTAAATTCTCCCCCTTTGGAATCAAACACCAAAAAAGAAGACATTAGTAGCACAAGGGAGGGTCAAACTTTGTTATCCTTTGTGTGTAGAGTGGAATAGGTCACAAAATTTGACTCTCACATTATATAGATTAAGTTCCCCCTAAATATATGCATACATATGGTAGTTAGCAAGGCATATGCATATTTGGCAAATTATTGCTCAAGAAATTTAATCTATATAATGCATGGAGAAAGCATATAAATATCAAAATGAAATCAACATGATGATATCGGTTTAGAAATACCACATGTGGAAACCAATTTGATTTCTACCACTTGCAATAAGTGGTGGATATTTGAAGTATGATACTTAACTCCAGGGACTCCATTTTCCTTGCAATGAGATTACTACACACATGATAAGCTTGAAAAGGTGTTAGTCTCAGAGCATCCAACTTGTAGAGTAACCTCCCCCTAATTTATTTACACAAGTGTGGGATACTTGTAGAAGTCATGCACATTGATTTTAGAATCAATAATACCACTTGAAAGATGACATCTCATGAATGTGAGAATCATTTTCGAATATGATATTCGGGAGAAATTATCTACAATTTGGACTTTGGCACATATTAGATGAACAATCAAAAGACAAGCTATGTGTCGTGCTCCTAAACAATTTTAAACCATGTAGGTTTGCTCCAAGGGTTAAGAATGAAACCGAGCAAGCCTACCATAAGATATACCTAGTGTATGCATGACAAAAGATATAAGCATGCAAATGCAAACATAGGCATGAAAAGTAACTAGATGCTTAAAGATATCAATATGTAAGAAATACCACTTGAAGGAAATGCAAATTGATACTACTTGAAGGAAATTGAATCTAGTTACCAAACATGGAAAGGGGAATTTGGGTCCATAGTATTCACTAACCCACTTGGCAATGACTTTGTCCAAAATTATGCACCCCATGAAATGCACCCATACTTTGCCAAGTCTCCAAATTTCTCGTAGTCCATTGGACTTCTCATTTTCCTTTCGGGATCCAAACCTTCTTGGTGCTCTTCATGTTGAAAATGATTTCCTTTGGCACCCAAAAGCATTTGACCCCATTGTTAGCTTGCTTGTTCACCTTGATGGCCACCACTTTGTCATTTTTCTTCTTCTTTAACAAGTATGGTGTGGAGGCCTTCTTGTCCACCTTGTTGGTGTAGGTGTTGGAGATCTTGCTTGTTTGCTTCTTCTCTTTCTCCTTTGCTCCTCCCCCATTCTTCACCTTGCACTCATAGGACTTGTGACCTTCCTTGTGGCACACGTAGCAAACCATGGTTTGTCCTTCATCAAGCTTCTTCACTCCCTTGACGGTGTTATCTTGATGAAGTTGGGCTTGCTTCGCCTTGCCTTTTATTTGAGTCAAGTCCTTGGTGAGGCGAGCTACTTCTTGCTTGAGTTGCTCATTCTCCTTTATAACCTCTTGTGTGCATGTATCTACAACAACTTTCTCAACACAAACTTGGTTGCGCAAAGATGAGTCTAAACATAAATCATTACAAGAAGTAGAGGCATCCTTTTTAGATATGTTAAAGATAGAACTTTTTTTTAGATGCCTTGGTGGGGGTTGTACTAACGGCTTCAAGATTAGCAACTTTATTAGTTAGCTCATCACAATGTTTGCACATGGTTTCCATTTTAGCAAGCAAACATTTATAAGCATCTTGTGAGCTAGCTAACTTTTCTTTTAATTTTTTATTTTTCTTTACAAGTTGCTCATTATTAATTGTGCATGCATTTGTTGTTGCACTAGTCTCAAGTTGCTAAATTTTAATAGATAGTTCAACATTGAGATTAGCAAAGTTCTCATATTGTTTAAGCAAAGTTTTGTATGCTTCTTGTGAACTATCTAGCTTTTCTTTTAATTTTTCGAGCTTCTTTTGTTGACTAGTGCAAACTTTAGCATAATTAAGATTTTGTTGCACAATTTCATCATAAGAAGGTATTTTATCATCACTATCACTCTCACTAGAGGATGAGCTTTCGTTACCTTGTGCCATAAGGCACATACAAGAAGAGCTTGATGATGAGTGCTTGCGCCCTCGCCTCTTGTGATGGTGTTCTTCTTCACTTGAAGAATCATCCCATGACCTTAATGATATGAGGGCTTGGTTCTTGCATGCCTTCTTCTTTGTCTTGGGTATGGGCTTGTTTGGACAAACTT